TTGTAAACTATTTTATACATGATATATACATAAAATTTTCCATATGGTATCAGAGCAGTGATTCCTCTTGGACCTGCTTCTGTGTTCTTCCCAAAAACCCACCAAATCCAAACCAGTTGAGCCATTATGGCCATACCAGCAGAAAAAACTTCAAAAAACGAAACCATGGATACCAATCCAATTCAACGTTTGAGCTCTGTGCTTCTAAACGAATTCAACTACCTGCCCTGGTCACGAGCTATTTCTCTCGCTCTTGGAGGACGTGGAAAGCTCCCATTCTTTCAAAAGGATGACATCATCCCCGAAACAACTGCACCGGATTATGCAGCATGGGTATCCCAAGATCAACTTCTCATGTCTTGGCTGTTAAACTCTATGGAACCAAAGATGGCTGAGATTTTCAGCTACTTAGTATCATCTCACCAACTTTGGAATTCCGTACGAGACATGTATGGAGATCTAAACAATGCTGCGCGAGTCTTTCAGCTGAAGAAAGATCTTACGGAATTACAACAGGGAAATCTCTCTTTTGTTCAACATCTTGGCAACTTGAAGGCCAAATGGAATGAATTGGATCTCTACAGACCTCATACCACGGACACAACCATTCTTCTAAAGCGTGCTGAAGAAAACAAAGTGTTCCAGTTGCTTGCCAGCATTGGACCAGATTATGAAGACCTTAGAAGCCATCTCTTAATGACACCTGAACTTCCCACTTTACAGATGGTCTGCAACGTTATTCAACGTGAAGAAGTAAGAAAGAAGATCATGAACGCAGACATGGTCGTTGGAGAATCAAATTTTAGGCCATCATAAGCAAGAGCCTTCACCTTCTCCAGACCATACAAGAGAAAACGACCAGACTTAAAGTGTTCTCACTGTGTGAAGATAGGTCGTACAGGTATTGGACACATAAAAGAGAAGTGCTGGATTCTTTATCCAGAACTTAAACCTAAGTTCAATGACAATGGAAGAGCACCAAGAAACCAAATGAAGCCTGCCTACACTCCTAGAGGAAATCTTGTTTGCGACAATGTCTCCAATAATGTGATAAACTCTTCCTCTAGTCCCATTGCTCTCATAAATGAATTCGCTAACTTCTTGCAACAGAAACAAGGAGCAACAAATCATGAAACTCCTTCAGCCATGCTCAGCAAGTTTGCTGGCTTCCTCGAACAATCAAACTCAGTGTCACAAAATGACATGCCAGGTATTATTGCAACTATCTCCACTGCTTTGGATCTTAGTAGTAGTTGTGATTTTTGGATAGTTGACTCAGGAGCTTCAGATCACATGACTAACGATGCATCTTTACTAAATGATTTTCAAAACTTTTCCACTCCTTCTTTTGTCTCCGTAGCTAATGGCACCAAAGTTCGTATAGTAGGTAGAGGGAAACTCAAAATCTTCTCGAGTCAAAAAGAATCCCTTGTCATGCATGTCTCTTCTTTTCCTTTCAAACTATTGTCAGTAGGAAAAATAACACATTTGCTAAATTGTCTTGCAATTTTTTCAACTCACTATGTGATTTTCCAGGACCAAGTTTCGAAGGAAACGATTGGTAAAGGATTCTTCCTCAATGGACTGTACTATGTCAAATTCTCTTCAAGTTTCCCAAAAAGTTTCTACGTAAACTCAAGCACTGTAAACAAGGAGCAGCTGTGGCACATGAGATTAGCTCACCCTTCTTCACATGTTATGTCTTTTCTTTTTCCTAGTTTCTGTAAAGTGATTCCAGATTGTGAAGTTTGTCAAAAATCTAAGTTCACCAGGTTACCCTTTCCCCACTCTCTCTCTAGAGCTACCAAAGCCTTTGAAATAGTCCATTCTGACATTTGGGGACCTGCCACCTTAGAGTCCTTTGATGGTTACAGATTTTACATATCGTTCATTGATGATTTCTCTAGAACTACTTTTGTGTATTTACTTAAATTCAAGCATGAAGCTTTCCAGTGTTTCAAAAATTTTCATAAATTAATTCAAAATCATTTTAACTCTAAAATTGGCATCTTAAGGTCTGATAATGGGTTTGAGTACACTTCCAAAATCATGACAACTTACTTAAGTGAGCATGGAATTTTGCAACAAACAAGTTGTGTAGGAACGCCACAACAAAATGGCATTTCAGAAAGAAAGAACCGAGATTTGCTTGAAAAAACACGATCACTAATGTTACAAGCAAAAGTTCCAAAGAAGTTATGGTCTCAAGCTATACAAACCGCTGCATACATCATCAATCGCCTTCCTAGTAGAATCTTGAAGTTCAAATCTCCTTACCAAATTCTCAAGGGGAGAGAAATTGACATAAGTCATCTCTGTGTGTTTGGATGTGTATGCTATGTGCACATTCAAACTATTCACCGAGATAAACTTGATCCAAGGGCTATCAAATGTGCATTCGTAGGTTACTCAACTTCCCAAAAGGGATACAAATGCTACGACTCTAAGACCAGAAAGGTATGTGTATCCAGGGATGTGCGTTTTGATGAAACTCAATCCTTCTTTCAAATGCATGATGATGAACCTCAGGGGGAGCTCTCATATGAAGTGTTTCCTACCCCTCTCTTCCTTGATGATACAAGGCTGTCAACACCGCAAAATGAAGCTGTTGAGATAGAGCCAGCTCCTGAAAGTATGGAAGCAGATAATGAAGAATTCATTCTCGAAAGGAGAGAGCCTCAACTTGAACAACCTCCTCCTCCACGAAGGAATCCTTCTCGAAACAGACAACCTCCAGCCAGGCTTGATGATTTTGAAATCTACACGCCTAGACATCCTATTGGACAAATGGTTTTTCATAGCAAGAGCTCTCCATCTCATGCTGTCTTTGTGACTAAGTTATCCCAAAATTCTGAGCCTCGATCCTTCGAAGAGGCACACCAATCTCCTGTATGGAGGCAAGCCATGCTTGAAGAACTGAAGGCACTTGATGAAAATCAAACTTGGAGCATTGTTTCTCTGCCAAAAGGTCAACGTGTGGTTGGGGCAAGATGGATTTATAAGACCAAATTTCACTCAGATGGAAACATAGAGCGGCACAAGGCAAGGTTAGTTGCAAGAGGCTTCACACAAACCTTCGGAGTAGATTACAAAGAAACCTTTGCCCCTGTGGCAAAGATGAACACAGTTAGAGTGCTTCTTTCGGTGGCTATCAATTCAAACTGGTCTCTACATCAAATGGATGTAAAAAATGCCTTCCTACATGGAGAGTTAGAAGAAGAGGTATACATGCGACTACCACCTGGTCATGAACAAGAGAAGGAACAAGGAATAGCCTGCAAGCTTCACAAGGCTATTTACGGTCTCAAGCAATCTCCAAGGGCTTGGTACTCAAAACTTAGTTCTGTCCTTATGTCATCCGGCTTTAAACGAAGCAATGCAGATTCTTCAATGTTCACTAGGATTGGTACGCATGGAAGATTGGTGGTACTTGTTTATGTTGATGATCTTATTGTCACGAGAGATAATCCAGAAGAAATAACTGCCCTCAAAGCCACATTACATTCAACCTTCAAAATCAAAGATCTTGGCAGACTTCGATACTTTCTTGGAATCGAAATGGATCAATCTCCAACTGGTTTGTTTCTAAATCAACAAAAGTACGTTCTAGATCTTTTAGAAGAAGCAAATATGATGCATTGCAAGCCTGCCAAAACACCACTACCAACAAATTTCAAGGATGAAACCTCAGGCATCCAACTTGAAAATGCATCGGAGTATCAAAGGTTGGTAGGAAAACTTATCTATTTGACTATAACCCGACCTGACATTGCTTATGCTGTTAGCTTTGTCAGCCAGTTCATGCATTCTCCCTCATCTCATCATTTGCAACTAGTTAAAAGGATCCTTCGATACTTGAAAAGCTCAATATCTACTGGGATTTTCATGCAAAACAACGGACACTTCACCATTGAAGGATACACAGACTCTGATTGGGCAGGCAATGTCCTTGATCGCAAATCCACAACTGGTTACTGCACTCTTGTTGGTGGTAACCTCGTTACGTGGAAGAGCAAAAAGCAATCTGTTGTAGCTCGGTCAAGCGCAGAAGCTGAGTACCGTGCAATGGCATCGACTGCATGCGAACTAATTTGGCTAAAGAGGTTGCTACGTGATCTTGAAATCATCTCCTCCAAACCAATTCTTCTTCACTGTGACAATCAAGCAGCAATGCATATTACTGCCAACCCCGTCTTCCATGAACGCACAAAGCACATCGAGGTTGACTGTCATTTCGTTCGCAACCAAGTTCAGTCCAAGCTATTACAAACTGTATTTGTTCGTTCCAGTGATCAACTTGCCGATGTGTTCACCAAGCTTCTGCCTTCTGCACAACTTGATCGTCTTCTCTTCAAGCTTGGATCCAGAAGAACTCTCGATCCAGCTTGAGGGGGAGTATTGAAGTATCTATTATTATTGGTGGTAGGGTTTGTCTAGTTGTCATTGTTTAGTTGGTGATGGATAACAACTCATTGTCATCTTACTTTCGGCTAGGGTTAGCTGCTTGTTTGTTTACTTTAGGCTTATTTAAGAGCAATATTCCCTCATCATGAAAAGCTAGGTATTAGTTTAAGTTAGAGATAGTGGAGGTCAGGTCTTCACTCATGCTTGCTGAGCTGCCATCCCTGTCCGCACCATTCCTCCACTTTCTTTCTTGTATTCCTCTCCTATTTATGGTTGATCTTGTAAACTATTTTATACATGATATATACATAAAATTGTCCATAGATTCATTATCAATACTATTTTGGTCGGTCTTTATTTGTTCAAATGTAGGCATACAAACATAAGTTCTTTATTAGAGAATAGACAGAAAATACAACTTTGATATTGGTAGATACCATGTACACTGAAAAATATTTATGTAATAATAATAACTAATACCAGGCACATTTAATAAAAGAGTTCAGCAATTATTCAAACTAAACTTCTAATGCAGTGGACATTTGAACTGTCCAATGAGCTTCACTCTGTTGCTTTTAGCATGCACCTATTAAGTCCTAGTTGATTTTCCTGCAATTGAGTCTTATCTCACCATCAGAACCAGTGAGAGGCTTAATGTTACCCATCTTGATCATGGAAGCCCCGAAATCTGTTTTGAAATCCTGGGGTTTGTTAGCGTAATGCTGCACCAGATTATCACTGTCACTACCATCACCTTTAAAGAGCTCCTGATCAGAATGGAAGAGACCCTTTTTCTGCAGTAAGGCCTTGAAGTACACGGTATCAAAGTTTGCTGCAGTCGAATCGAGCGGTGCTAAGTTGTTGTCACCACCATTTGAAGGACAACCCTTTTGCAACGAGGCTGCAAAGTCGGGGTCTATGTTGGTCTCATTGTAAATTCTGGTCCTGAAGGTGGTGCACCTAGCCTGGCCAATGGTGTGGCCCCCTGAGAGGAGAATCAGATCTTTCAGGTCTAGTCCTTGAGATTGAAAATTGGAGAGAAGCTGAGAGAAGTTGAAAAAAGGAGGCGGAAGATCTCTGTTTGCATCATTCAAGACTGCAGTTTTTGCATCTCTTCTACCCAATTGTACTTCATAGGAATAGGAAGGACCTCCCAACTAAAAACAAGGACAAGACTTTGCATTAATTTGTCGAGTTCTAATTAAGATAATTTGGTATATGTTATGTTAGTAGACTATGAATCTGGGCCAGATGGTTACGATGATAAGTTAATTATTAATTAAACGTATAGTCCAAACTCCAGATTATTCTAACAACATAACTTGCCAAAATTAACTGGTGAGAAAGCATTACTGAATGAAACCTTACTCATTAAGGCTGAAGACTATAACACTTACAATCTCAACGGAGTCACGAGCTGCCACGGCTAAGATGTCTGCACATGAGACCACATTTCCCTTGCAATCTTTGTTGAGAGTCGCCTTAATGTCATTGACCACGTCAAAACCTCTAATTGAGTTCAGATTTGGGTTCGCAGTCTTCTCACCGGTGAAGTTAGCTGTGTCATCCAGCAAAACTGATCCATCACACCCCTGCCATTGCATCAACCTCCAAGATGAAAATTTACATGCTATAATAAACGGGGCACTAAATGCTTAAACTATTAGAGAATGAGCAACGGCATGTATCAAGCTAAAATCAATAACGAGAAAGAGAAAAAAGAGATCAATGAGATATAACAACTTGAAACCTACATTGACAAAGCAGTCATGGAAGTGCAAACGTAGGAGCGATGCTCCCATGCGTTTTTCACGATTAATCGCGTGCTTGACAACTGATCTGATAATATGCAGCGCCTGAGGGCAGGATTGCTTATAGAAATCAGAAGTGAGTTGTGCAGTGCATGAAGTAGGGATCATCACAATAGCAGCTGCAAGAAAAATAGTAGTGACAAAAACCAAGACAGATGGATGACAACTAGCTGAAGCCATTGTATATATTTTAGTTTAGATAACTTCAGAAATTGCATGCAACAAGTTGAAGAGGTAAAGTGTTCTTATATAGAGGTGGTGGAATGTTGTTAGCTTCATATGCTACCATCATTATTCTCATATTATATTAGTGCATCTGATCTCATTGGCAGCTAATTCAGAACTAAATGTTAATCTTTCATTTCATGCATATACTAATTAATCAAGAGAGTGCTAGGTTAATTAGTTCAATAACTTAGCAATAAAACATTAATGATTTTGCACCATGTACACGCTATTGATCGTGGACTCGCTCTAACCTCCAATGGTCCAATATACAGAATAAAATAATTGGGGTTGTAAACTTCGTACATTTGGTTAAATTTGTTTGTTTACCGCGATTTCTAAAGGATAATCCTTGTGTTTCCCTCGTAGGGGAACCCTACTTGTTTGTCCACTTATGATTAACGTATTTTCATCTTATAAATATATTATAATTGAAACTTTTTATTATTATCTAAAGATCATCTCTGCAAAAGATCATTCAGTCTGAAGATCCTTAAACCATTTATATGTATCAAACAAATATACGGTGTATCGTGAGAATGCTACTTTACATTAAAACCGTCGATTTGGTTGACATGCATAGATGACTAAAGAAGTCTAATATAATCCTGAAATGCGGTAGCCCAACACTTCCCTCCTCTGCCATCGCACCTACTGCTGCCTGCCATCAAACTTCTGTACTAGTCACACATATAGAAAATTGAGGTTCTACTGTAGAACTAGTTGCTAATATGGGAAGTAATTCAACCTTTTATAAGCTCTTGCAAAGTTTCTATTTTCACCGATGTAAGACTCTTTTATCTTCACATGCTCACACTCACTTGTGGAAAATGGAAAAATTTCAAGCCTAACACACGTGGGAGATACCATGAAGAAAATTGAGACTTTACCATAAAACTAATTGGTAATATGAGGAGTAGCCCAACCTCTTTAAAGCCTTGCAAGATTTATCCCTTCAACACATGCATGCACTTTTTGTTTTTAATCTTCGATTCAATGTATTCTATAGATTTTGAGCTTGTGAAGTATGTTAGTTTATTCGTTGGTTAAGCCACTACATTTCCAATATGATCGAATTGATCTGTAAGCCTGTAACACAATCACAGCACTTGGTCTGAGTCTTCCAACATACAATTGAATAAGATTATATAAGATATTCGTTACAAAATCCACAAAACTTTGATATTTTTCTTGATTAATCCAATGTTATTGTTTTTTTTCTTATGAAATTATACATATAATAGCATGCGGCTGATAAGCTAAAACATAGGGAAGTGTCCACACAAATGTAATCCAACAACTCTAGTAGTTATTATGCAATTTATGCTCCTAGCCTCCTAATTAAAAGTTAATTAACCTCTAAAAGCTCATAAAAATGAGATAGAAAGAAGTTCTAGACTAATGTCTAAAGGATTGTATTTTACAACCAGAGTCCAGACCTTTATCTTTTGAATTTATTCATAGGCATAAAAAAAATTATAAGTAATTTAGGGTTCGTTGGTACTCAAAAACTGTTTTATGCTTGGTTTGGTATTGTTGTACTTTGAAAAAAAAAAAAAAAAAACTGTTTCTGCTGTGTTATGAGAATAATCTCATTTTTTCTGCTTCACGTTTTCAGCTTTTTTTCACCCAAAAGTGAGAAAATAAACTGTTTTTAAGTGTTTACCAAACACCTTTTTGAGCTCAGCTTTTTTTAATACCCATTTTTTATAAAAGCACCTCAGTACCAAACCAATACTTAGAGTCACAAATCTTGAATTCTGGTTTTGTAGACCATTTCTAAAAACTGGACTTAAGAGTTAAGAAAAACTCAAAAACCATGCCTAAGTCCTGAAAACACAAAAGTACGTGTAAAATTTTTTTTTTTTTTTTCTTTCTGTCTCGATCTCTTCTTTGCAACTCGAGTTAGTCACGTTGAGTCCAGCAGTAGAAGAAGAGTAAAGAACCACTGATCGCCGACTGTGAGATTTCCGTCGACTAAGAAATATCACCTGCCAGTGGTGGCCGGCGCTAGCACCACCGCTTCACAGCCAGCGACCCATCGGGCCATCCTTCACTGGGCTCTCTTCCTCCCTCCTTCTCTATTAATGTCGCCGTCATCGGCTACCAAAACAATACAATTTTATTCAAAGTTTATTTGGTGCTAGTGATGCACAAATCACTAAAATCATGTGTGTTGGCTGTTAAGCTTGGTTCTATCTAAATTCCATTTTTCTCTAAAAAATTGTTTTTAAAAATTTAACGGAAAATTGTATTCCAATCTTTGTCTAAGATTACCTTCTGAATAAAACCTTATCTAAGATTAAAAACTAATTCTAATCCTTGGCATTTAATTGTAATTTTTAATATTAAATAGGTTGTAATAATTATTGATTTTTTTGTTTGTAGGTTATATATTGATTCCCATAAATAATAAAAATGTTATTTATCATTGATAGTTATTATTAAGTTCCCATAATAAGAAAAGTCATATATTATCATATATTTTTCATTGTGTGTGAATGGAGTAATATATATGTATATGCATATTACGTACATATGTATGTTTAGATAAAATAGTTACATACCAATACATTTGTATTGATATATTTGTACCAATACATTCATACTGAAAGTTATGTACCGATATATTCTTACCGATACTTCTATACCTATAAGTAATATGAGGTACCTAAAGTTATGTACCGATACTTTTGTACCTATGAATAAAATAAGGTACCGAATGTTATGTATAAATTGATTTTGTTTTGTTGTTGAATTTTTTTAATAATGAGAATTTGAATTTTGAATAAATTTTTATTTATTAATATGATTAGAACACAAAATAAAAAAAAACATAATTATAGATGGAAAAAGAATTTCGAATGGTAAGAAAAATTACAATTAAATGCCAAGGATTAGAATTACCAAACAAGTTCTTGAATTCTAAAATATAAATTCAAAACCCTTGTTTTTAAGAAAAATTAATTATTTTTAGTCGAATCCTTAAGTTAAAAACGAAACCAGCTCTTATTGTTTTAGTTGTGCTGCTTTGCTCTGCTCTAGTTTTTTCTTTTCGAAGTTATTACATTTATAGTTGGCAAGTCTTTAATGTTCTGTAGATGTCTTTGATGTACAATAGAGTTATCCTAATATTCATTCGTTTGAATAAATGATTGAAAAGTTGGCTAATGAAAATGACTTAATTAATTTGCAGCAATTAAGCAAAAACTTAGCTTAAGAATGAGGATCCCCTTGGATCAAAGCCTTTGTTTTGTAGGAGGTATAGCGTATGAAGCCTCCAGTATATATTTATCATTCATTACTTATTCGTTGGTTTGCATGGCAAGCGTAATGTATGACATTATTGTGTACCCAAAAGAGGTACTATTACATTTAACGGTAAAATATTATCTTTGACATTATTTTGCAAGACTTGGTCTGCCTCTTGTCTTCCATGCTCTTCGTCCCCCTCTTGGCAAGACTTGGCAGTTGGCATGCCTCTTGTCAAAATATATATTCTTTATTGAGGGGACCTGCTAGTTTTTTTATGTGATATTATGTATTTTTTAGAGATTTTATACACAAACGATGATGCGACAGATTTTCTCGTATTATTGTTTAACATATGGCAAGTTCCCTTCAAAGTTTACTAAAGCCTAACTGTAATTTTAATCCAATAATATATTCCAGAAGTGGACTAATCAGCTACATTAATTGTAAGGCAGCTGCTAAGATTACCACACCCTATCATCTATTTAATTGTTAAACAACCAATTTTATAACATTGTGACTTGGTAAACCCCTGGTTATTCAGATAATCACTAACCCCTAATTAAGCTAATTTTTTTTTGATAAATAAATGGTTAATTGTGCAGAAACCAAACTTGTTCCTCCAACGAACAATCTGCAGAAAAATTAGGGTTATGACCATGTCCAAGTTGCAGAACTAATTCAAGAACAAATGAATGGAACTTGATGATCAACCATACTCTAAATATTAAGTTTTTAATGAAATCAAGGTTAACATCACCGTCTTGATCGACCAAGTCATACCGATCAGTAAATCGTTAAATAGAGAATTAGCACTATATTACTATCCTAATCCCCTTTGATTAAATCCTTATTTTCAGAATTAGCTGGTGTAGGGAGCTTCTGCCATTGGTTGGTCTTATTAGCATAAAAACTAATTCACATTTGACATTTCCTTAGGTTTAAGTTACAAGATGTTGACATTCAAATCTCAATCAGAAGCAGCTAAAAGTCAATCCATCCAGAGTCCAATGCCCATACCTGATAGAGTTTCTGATACAATTTTATAGGATTTTTTACATTTGACATTTTCCCTCCTTCTCTTCATGCGACCTCTTCAAAACCAATTCACATTTGATCTCTAGTTCAATTTTGGAAAAGACCATTCCAATGCCAACTTTATAAAATTAAAAAAGAATATATATATATATATATATATATATATATATATTATTAGTATTAAGGGGAGATATGGCATTTGTGCCGTGTTTTTCTTATTATGTCATTTTCATGGCATACCCAATACATTAACGAGTCATGTCATGTAACACTATTCGATCATATTATTTTTTATTGAAGAATTAATATTTTTTTAAACCCAAATTATTTTTATTAAAGAATTTACCTAAACTACCTTCTTAAACCCAATACAAAATGTAAACTTATCCTTACACCCATTTATAAAATAAAATCTCTAATTGAATAGTGTTTTATTTTTCAAAGAGGAACAAAAAAACATTACGCATCCTTTGCCCTCCCCCCTCCCTCTCTAGCATTTCCTATGGCTATTGTTTTTTCTGCTACAAAACCAAGATATTTGTTCTCTTGACCAAACCAAGACACATGCTCTCTTTCTCAACCAAACCAATTACTTGGGTTGCTATCAACACCACCACAATAAATAACCCCCATCACCTTCTTTTATCAAACCAACTTTCCTCTTTGCAAATTTTTGTTCTTTCGAAAAAGAACAACTCCGCTGTTAAAGTAAGTTGTCATTGTTTGTCTGGTCAATTATTTTCATAAAAAATTTGAAGCACTCCTAGTTATGGAACTAATTATCTTGGATTAAGCAATTCATCTTTTCCTTACCTTTTGATCAATTTGTTGGATTATAATCAACAATTTAATTGATCGTTTAAATGGCCAAAGAAGTTAATTGTAAATTCTGATGAGAAGCTGCAACCATTAGAAGCTGAAAAAACAAGTGCTTATAGATGCAAGTTTAAGAAGAGCCATAAGACCAACCAAACCAGCACGACAACAAATTGACAAACAAGCATGGCAACAAATCGAGTCGTACCATAATTAGAGAAATCAAAACTTCAAAATCACTATCCATCGATAAAAGAAATTTATTTTTCTCTATAAGAGCAATTAGGATTTTAATTAGAATGAACGTAAGATAAACAATGAGTGATATACGGTTCAATTATAGTGGGTGGGTTTATTGATAAGTTTTAATTTTATTTTTAACTCATCTTGTACTTGATGGTAATTATGCAATATGGTAAAAATGACAATTAACATTTAAAATTTAAGTTGGGTGTAGAAAAATGTTACATAGGTTTAAAAATAAATTTGCCCTATACATTTTGATCAGTTAATGACCGATTATCGCTGATTTTTAATTCAAGATCATTGCTCTAATTTGGTCAAAGTTGAAAATCATTACTAAATTTTTTTTTTTCTTTCATTCATTGAATTTGAATACAAAATTGAGGAACTATTTTTACAATTTTCTTTTGTTTTCTATGGTTCATAAAATTTGAACTCAGAATATCTTTTCCATCTAAAAGACTAATTGTCGCGTTGTTCATATGTATATACTCGAATATGCAAGCAACCTTTGCACATCTCAATATTTTATTCTCAAAAAACTAAGATTGGAACCAAATGCACAAAATGAACGCCTTCCTCAAACCAAATTTGCGTATGGGACAAATACAAAGAAAAAATAGAGTTTTAACAAAACACTTCTGATACTGTTTATTTTTAACGAAAAATTATATTTTTTGCATTTCTTTGGTATTATTCACTACATATTTATTTATTATTTTTCATTAAAACTTTTTTTTTTGAAATTTTCGTTAGTTTTTATAAGAAAAAAAATTTATCATCCCACAATTCAGAGGTTTACAAATTACAGAGAAGAAAGTAATCAAATATTATATGGAAATTGGTGAAACAAATAATCTGTTGCTGAGCTAGATCATGATCATGCTTGGTGAATATTGTGGATGGCTGCAGTGATGCTTTTACAATCAAATTCCATAATCTTCATCCAGTTCTCAAAATCTCCAATTTCCTACCTCACCAAAAACCAAAAATTTAAAATTTAAAATAACCCATGTTTAAATATTCAACATTTATTAATTAATTTACTGGATTGACAAAAAAAAAAAAAAATTTACTGGAAAATTGAGGAACAAAAATAAAAATTGAACCTTGATGGCAGTGTTCATAGAGTGAGTGACAGAAAGCCACTGATCGGTCTGTTTGCTGAATCGTGCAATGGTGGCAGCCAAAGCCCTAATTTCATACTCGATTCGCTTCTCGTTTACGAACGCCTCTTGCACCCCGCCGTTCACCGCCTCCACCATCAGGTCCGCCGCACGCACTGCCTTCTTGATCGCGTCCTTCTTCGCCTTCTCTGCCAAAATCAATCACGACTAATCACTCAAGTAATCCGCAAATAATTCAATTTCAATAATCCAGCGTCTTTTCTTCAAACCCTAAATTCGGATTCGAAATTGGATTTGGGGGAACTGAGTGAACTCACCGGTGGCGTCGCGGAGTCTAAGGGAGGCGTGGTGGTGATCCTGGACGAGCTGGAGCAGAGCTTCTTCTACACCTCCCCGCTCTGGCTCCGACGAGAACGAGAAGGTTGACGGCGATGCGACGGCGCCATGGGCCAGTGGAAGAGACGTTTCTGAGTACATGCTGTGGTCGTTTGAAATGAACAAATAAAACGGTAACTCGTATGAATTAAGACAACCCAATCTTTTGTGTTGGCCCTAAATTTTCATGGGCTCACCTCTGTATGGAAGCCCATTTGTTTGGGTTGGGTTCTGCGCAATAGGCACTAATATTGTTAGGAGCCACTGATATCATTAAAGTTCAGTTACCTCTCCGCTTATAAGTGAAAAGATTCAAATTAACTCTCATGAGTGACATTTTTGATACATAATTATGATTATTTATGACCTAAATTACCCCTCTCCAATATCGTTGTATCAAAAAATAAAATTGCAAGATTGTCACAATTTTATAAAGTCCAACTTTTTAATTGGTTCCCACTTTTAGTCATTTTTATTTTCAATCAATCCCCAAAGTGTACATATCCCGCTTATTTTCTCTACGATTTAACTTCTACGACGTGCATAACATGTTGAATATTTCTAATACTAATAAATAAAACACGTATTATATTTTGTGGCACATAAATTGGCCAAGTTGGTCTTAGTTTCTGATTTTAATTTTTGTTAGTTTTGAAAAGCTTCCAAATTTAATCTTGAATGCTCTCTTCGAAGATTGTGTGCTTTCTTAATGTATTCGAATAATATTAACTTTCAACGCATGAATGCATAACATGTTGCTATAAGAATAATTTGACCTCATATAGAATCCGGTGAAGAAGCTTTAAAGCCATAATCTTCAAAGATTACCTTCTCCTCTTTGTAAGATACTCAATGCTCAACTAACAATAGGTTTCAACTTAATAATGTGCACATTTTAGTTTGGGTGGTGCTATCCACATACCTATTTTTACTTTCCACACACTATCTCAATTTCAGTCGTTCAATCGAATGAATTGAATATCAAAGGATAAAAATTAACAATGAGTGTGTAGAAAGTTAAATAGGTGTTGTGGATAGAACCAACCTTTAGTTTAGTAGATATAAAACGCGCACTATAATTTAAGTAAAGAGTAACACTAAGTGACAATATGATAGTCACTGACATATTTCTTGTTATGACCAGGGTTCAATAAAGAAGTTAGAACTTTGCGTTGTTTATTAGTGTTTGATAAATAATTGAAGCTAGCTTTTGATTGTAAGAAATTGAATACGAAGGGCTTGTCTGCTAGGTTTAGGAAAGGAGTCTGCACATAAAAGTCAAGCTCACTATGCTTGGCTTTTTAAGTATGTTGATTAGATAGACTTTAGCCCCACCCAAACAGTCTTCTAGTTCAATCATATTTTGGATTCACACTAGTTGATGTATATAGGAAAAATCCTATTCTATCAACTAGGATATTCTTATGGTTCTCTTTTTTTATTGCTTTTTATGGGGTGGTGACTTTTGTGTAACCATTATTTTAAGAGAAATAAATATACAGGTTAACTTCACTAAGACAAGAAAACTCACTACACAAAATTAGTCTTTTATAGCGCATGATGCATGTAGTAATAATTAAAATGTCTTTCTATTGTGGAATCAGCTCAAGAAAACAATTCACATTTATCCACGGCTTCCTGTCTGGTCATGGTTTATGGTTATGTGATTTAGAATTGTTTTATTTTTTGGAGCTTTTGAAGGTTTGTATAGGGGTGAACAATTGTTATTTTGAGGTACAAAATTGGGTTTGTGAATTATCAACCGCTTATGGTTTCCGAACAGCGGAGACGAGTCATCTCTCACCTAGGCTTCTAGAGTTTTCTGTACTAGCATGAGTGACTTCATCTTTTTGTATGTTGTTCCTTCTTAGAGCTACGCACTTTGTACGTTTAAGACGTTCTTTTATGAATGTTTCACAGCCTTTAACAAAAAAAAAGGTTAACACGAAACATCTTTGCAAAATTTTCATACTTTGTACGTTTAAGACTTTCTTTTTGAATGTTTCACTGCCTTTGACCAAAAAAAAAAAAAATGTTAACACCAAACATCGTTGCAAAACTTTACTTTAGAACCACTCCATGTTTTGCAACACATTTTTCCAAAAGAGAGAGAGGTATCCTCTTCATATAATAAAAGTTTGAGCAGCAGCACATGCTTAACACATTACATTTACTGAAAGTAAAAATTAAAAAAAAAAAAGAAAAAAAAAGAGAGAGAATATATGGTGTCCCCCCGCCGGGGGGGGGGGGGGGTGGGGGGTGGTGGGGTGTGTGTGTTTAAGTGCTCAAGGTTGCATCGCCATTTGTCATGAGTTCAGATTGTTTAAAAGGGAAGATTCCAAGTTCTTAGTTTGTGTAAAGTGAACCAATTAAATAAGTTAGTGTGAATGGTCAAATTCAATTCGAGTGATTTAAACTCTTTTATCATTGAACTTCGAACAGTGGGATCTGAAGAGGATCTCAACTTATCTGCCCATGGGCCATGAGTGAAGAGACAGCATATAATGATATAATACGTTTAGGGTAGATTGAGATCTGTTTTACAGTTTTACTACTTTTACTCTTTACTACAATGTATATACATATATAAAGACACGCAAATTTTCAAATCTCCGTATCATACAACAATGACATGGTAGAACAATTATGTATTACATTCATAAGACTGTATCTGCATGAAAGAAAATCCATCGACCAGAATTTTTTTTATATGTAATCTTTTAAATTTTTTAGGTCTGCATGCTGCCTAACTTTGAAAATTTGGCCCCTTAAATTTGGTTAAAACTGAAATAAAATTCGGAAGTCAAGAAAATATAGCTTGAAGCCATGAGTCCACATGCCAATTATCGTATCTAATCGAACCTAATTTTTTAAAATGATATCTAATCGAGCCTAATACCATCTGGTATTGTCCAGAATACTACCAGATAATAAAAATAAAGGTTGGGGTGTGGTCCAATATTCCTCTTAAATAATTCAAGAGTCGTATTTGCTACAATGGTGTCTGCTTAATTAGCTATACATACAACTGATATTGTCATTGTCACACTCAAAATTCAAATGTCACTTCCAAACCCTACCTATGATAGCTCTCTACCAACGGATAAGATTTATTTCCAATGGATTTGCCACTGTAGCAGTATTCAAAACAATAACACGATGTTATCATATGAAATAGGCTTATTTTCAAACACCGTTGTGGGTCATACTGAAGAACTATAGTTTCCTACACACATTGGCGATAGAGGTAGATCCATTACTCTAGCTTCGTGGTGTCTCAATGTAAGACATTCAGACGTGTCCAACCCGCAAAATTTTTTCATTGATACATTTAGTCGAGCACATGTGGATATGTCATCTACCTATACTTGTTGAAAGCTTCCCAAGCATGCTAGTTGGATATGTGGAAAACTTTCAACGTCTGATGTCGAGCAGGAGCATCACTAGCCAAGGCCTAGTAGTTTATAAGCATTCTCAGCTCGCATATCAGATGCAAATTCCAGCACCCCACAACCCCCACCAAACCCCCCCCCCCCCCCCCCCCACACACACACACACTCAAAAACACAAATTTCCCGACTTTCCTAGTGTCTTGAGACCGACAGAACCCATCGATCCATAGAGTCCTTTCGCGACCTTGCCCTCCCCTACCCCCAATTCCCGACTTTCGTAGGGTCCCAATATTAAGGATAGTTTTGTAAGAGACAAAAGTTAATAGTATCAATTTTGTAACTACTTTGATTTTTCTGATATAGGTGGTTATAGGACGGTTAGATTTGTTATGGTAAGCTGTCAAGTACACAACTATTGTATAAATACCAACTGATGTAATCTTATCATTTCATTCAATGGAATGCATTTCCAAATATGGTATCCTTCACCTCTATCTTACGACCGACTTCGATCCTCTTCTTCTTTGCAACTTCTCTATCACGCTTCCCACTTTCTCCTCTCTGAAACCCTAACTTGCAGCAATGGCGATTGCTGCTTCTCCCTCCTCTAAGTCTACTTCACCAGTTCATCCTACTTCGATGGTCAATTCGTGCCCTAATTCCTCTAGCACCACTTCAATTGCTTCGATTACGATTCAGAATATTGGTTCAATGGTTCCGATCAAGCTCTCTACCACTAACGACCTAACATGGAGTGCACTGTTTGCTCCAATTTTTCGAAGATACAATCTCACTAGAATTGTTGACGGCTCAATCGAAGATCCACCTAAAGTTCTTTGAGATTCATTTGGTAACCTAATCTTGAATCCTGAGTACATCGCTTGGTTTGAGAATGATCAGAATATTCTTATCTAGATCAACTCAACTCTCTCTAAATCTCTGATTCCATATACTGTTGGTGTAAGTTCATCTTGAGAGCTATGGTCCAAGCTTGAATCACGCCTTGCAACGGCCTCACAATCTCACATTCATAAACTCAGATCTCGACTTTGTAACATCTCCAAAGGCGAATCCACTGTTGCTGCCCATCTTTAACAAATTGAGAAGATCGTTAATACTCTTGCCAGCACCGGAGCTCTAGTTGAGGACTCTTAACTTATCTCTGTCACACTTCATGGCTTGCCATCTGAATATGATTCCTTTGTTGATGCGATTTAGTTCCATCTAGGATCTACAACCATTGACAAACTTCATGGCTTGCTTCATAACAAATAGATTCAACTTGCAAATTGCAAGAAAGCTACTACTTCTTTTGGCGTTTTTCAAGCTTTCAATTCAAATCTTGGATCATCAACTGGAATTCTACCTACACCAACCTCAAATTCTAGTTCCCAAGTCTTTCTTGCTCAGAATTCATCCCATTTCAATCAGTATCAAGTTCGTAACCAAGATCGAAATCAGTCAAACCCTAGGTCTTTTCAGAATAAGGGAAATTTCTCTAGTTATCGTGGCAATAATTAGCTTCAGAATTACAATCGCTATAATCAAAGGAATAATCGTGGAGGTCGTTTAGGCTACAATTTTTTTTGGAATAATCATGGAATTACTACTTGGAAAAAGAACTACTTGACAAAAGTTAACAGTGTCAATTTTGTAATTACTTTGATTTTCAAATATAGGTGGTTATAGGACAGTTAGATTCGTTATGGTAAGTTGTCAAGTGCA